TTTAGGGTTTAGGGGTTAGAGCAGACCACGGCGTTTGCTTCGTCTAAGATCCTTCGGTGCCTGGATCCGGGACTACGTTTTCGGAGCTGGGAACAAAGCCCGAAAGCAGAGAAACGAATCCCTANNCTAAAACCCTAAAACCGTGAAACCCTAAAACCCTCAACCCCAAAACCCTAAAACCCTAAAACCCTAAAACCCTAAAACCCTAAAACCCTCAACCCCAAAACCTTAAAACCTTAAAACCCTAAAACCCTCAAACCCTAAAACCCTAAAACCCCAAAACCCTAAAACCCTCAACCCCAAAACCTTAAACCAGGGTGGAAGGTCTCTGGCTCGAGGCTCCCTCAAAAACAAGCACCGTGCCTTTCAGAAGGAAAGGGCCTCTTCCCTACCTTAAGAACCCCAAACCCACATTTTTGTAGGTTCTTACTATAAACCCTAATATGGGATGTATAGGGACCCTACAAAAAAGTAGGTTTTGGGTTCTTAAGGTAAACCCTAACCCCTAAACTCGAAGCTCCCCCTCTCTTTGTAGGTGCCGTGGCCAATCTCGATGGGGCTTATGGCTTTGGCTTCTGGCTGTTCAGCTTGGGGCTCAAACTCTCATTTGTTTGTGCGTCTTAGGGTTTAAGGGCTTTGGGTTTTAGGGTTTAGGTTTTAGGGTTTAGGGTTTAGTTTCGGCAGCAACATGCAACAACCGTTCGAAAGGATTGTCGCCAAACCAGCACTATCTGAAGATAGCTTTTGTGTCGTGCTTCTGTTTTACAAAACCCTATTGCTGTAGCAACCCCTTAACATACACGGTAACCCTCAAAATAACCCAATATCATAACCGCTCTCGCAATCCTGAAAACCCCACCTCACTAGCCCTTATCCTTAAACCCCTAAACCCTAAACCCTAAACCCTAAACCCTAAACCCCTAAACCGGTACAACGAACGCTCTACATTAACCCCTGCAGCACCCTACTGGACCGGAAGCCACGGTGCCCTCCGAATAGGCCGAGCCTCGCCCCCGAGTGCCTTCCAAGAAGGATTAGGGTGATGTAGGTGTTAGGGTGTAGGGTGTAGGGTTTAGGGTTTAGGGTTTAGGGTTTAGGGTTTAGGGTTTAGGGTTTAGGGTCTAGGGTTTAGGGTGTAGGGTTTAGGGTGCTTCGTAAAAATCAAGGAATTCCGGGCCTTTTTGGGCTTAAAACAGGGGTTTCAAGCTTGTGGTGATGTTGGGGCTCGGGGTTACGCAGGGCTGCGGTCTTGAGGTCAGGAACCTCTGCGCCCCGGTGGCGGCTACATAGGGTTTAGGGTTTAGGGTTTAGGGTTTAGGGTTTAGGGTTTAGGGTTTAGGGTTTAGGGTTTAGGGTTTAGGGCTTGCCTATGTAGCCCGCGTTCTAATTTCTTTTCGGGGGAAAGCTGCTACTCTCCTTGCAGATGTCGGAGCCTTATCGAAGATCGAACCCCAACCCGAAATCCGATCACCCTTCCTGAACCCTAAACCCGAAGCCCTAAACCCTAAACCCTAAACCCTGAAACCCTAACCCTAAACCCTGAAACCCTAAACCCAATGCCCTAGACCCTAAACCCTAAACCCTAAACCCTCTACCCGTAAGCAACAAAAAGATCACGGAAAGGGCGGCCTTGCTGGGGACCTGCGCTGAAGTCATCCCAAAGCTTACACAGACGAGCCACCACTGTTGGAATCTGAAGACTCCGACGCGTTTAGGGTTTAGGGTTTAGGGTTTAGGGTTAAGGTTTAGGGTTTAGGGTTTACAAATCCTAGACCCTAAACCCTAAACCCCAAAGCCCTAAACCCCAAAGCCCTAAACCCCAAACCCTAAACCCCTAAGACGTAAGCCAGGAATCTTGCGATTTTCGGCCCAAGATTTTCGCCGCCTGAACCCCGAACCCGAGCCTGACGCCAAGGCCAGAAAAATCGAAACCCCGCAGCTCAACCATCCCGTAGAAACCTCAAAACAGGTTTGAGGAGAGAGAGATATACATAATATGACATTATACGATTATTGCTATAATGCATTCTGGTGCATTTACTTATTTATATACTTATATATGCATACACACATACATGTTGCACACCATTCAGACCTCTGAATCCATATCGTCATCAAAACCCCCGACCTCCACGAACGCCAGAGGAACATCGCTTCACGAAGCCATCCATCGACACACGGTTTAGGGTTTAGGGTTTCGGGTTAAGGGGCTAAAGTTTAGGGTTTAGTGTCTAGGGTTTGAGGTTTGAGGTTAAGGTTCAGGGTTTCTGATGCTCTCTGACGCCTTTCGTTCCTGAAAAGTGTGAAATCATACTTTGAGAATCGGGGGCCGCTTGGCCATATCTTAAAGCATCCTGACGTTCTCGACTGGGCAGTTCTCCCTTCTGATGAATCCTCTTTTATAAGGGTGCCGTAGCATTATGGAGACCAAAGAAGGGACCCCAATTTAGGAAACTACCCATGTAGCACCCTTACAGAAACCCTTAAACCCTAAACCCTAAACCCTAAACCCTAAACCCTAAACCCTAAACCCTAAAAAGGGATCCTAACCCCGTATAGAAACCTTATTCTAAAAAAGGGACTATAGGAACTTGGAGGATTCAGAACTGCGAATTTCGAGCCTTGAAGCCCAAGCTTGCTGGGGTGAGGTTTAGGGTTTAGGGTATAGGGTTTAGGGTTTAGGGTTTGGGGTTCAGGGTTTAAAGTTTAGGGTTTCTAGGATTTAAGCTTTAGGGTTTAGGATTTAGGGTTTGGGGTTAAGGGTTTAAAGCTTAGGGTTTCTAGGATTTAAGCTTTAGGGTTTGGGGTTTAGGTTCCACCCTGAACCCTAAACCCAAAGGCTCGAACTTGGGGTTTAAGCTCCTTAGACTAGACCCTGAACTGCCTGAACTTTGCACCTCCCTCAACGGTTGAGGGTTTTTGGGGTTTAGGGTTTAGGGTTTAACTCCATTCCATCATTCAACCTAATCCAGTCAAGAAAAGCTCTGAATAGACCCGAAAGTCCAAAGAATAAGCTCCCTGAACCCTAAACCTGAAAGCCTAAACCCTACCCGTAACCGAAAAGACCTACCTCGGCTACAGGTAAACCTTAACAAACCTGATAAACCCTGAACCTTGCAGCTCAAACACTACAAACCGTATGCTGGACACTCGCTTTTGAAGTGTCTGTCATAGCGAGGAGGCGAGCTTGGAGACTATGTGATGAACCCTAAACCCTAAACCCTAAACCCTAAACCCTAAACCCTAAACCCTAGTAAGATAAGGGTCTTCAAGGTTTGGGGTTTAGGGATTTACAGGTTCAAGAGTTTAGGGGCTTAAGGATTTAGGGGTTCAAGGGTTTAGGGCCGCTTTGGGGTTTAAGTAAACCCTAAACCCTAAACCCTAAACCCTAAACCCTAAACCCTAAATTTAGGGATTTAGGGGTTCAAGGGCTTAGCGGTTTTTTGGGGGCTTGGGGTTTAGGCTTTGGGGCTGGGCCTGAAGGGCTAAAATAAGGTTTCGGTTTAGGGTTTAGGGTTTAGGGTTTAGGGTTTAGGGTTTAGGGTTTAGGCCTACAGGGTTTCATGATAGGGGCTACCCTAAACCCTAAACCCCAAAACCCTAAACCTTGTGCCTTTTCTGTGGTGGGAGGGGGGTTTGCTGGGAAGGGGCGGTAGACCGTCGGGACTACAAGCGGGATACGCCTCGGCCCTCGAAGTCTGGCTACTGTTTGGGGTTTAGGGTTTAGGGTTTAGGGTTTAGGGTTTGGGGTTTAGGTTTTAGGTTTTGAAAGTGCTTCTAGGGTGCAGAGTCTGGTAATGCCTTGTTTTGCAATTGCAGGCGTAAGTTGAAGGTTTACGGCTTGGGCTGCTATTTCGAAAATCCCAAATCAGACACGACTCTCCTCAACCCTGAACCCCAAACCAGGGCTGAAGGTTTAATTAGGGTTTAGGGTTTAGGGTTTGCAGTTTAAAGGCAGCGGGGCTTGGACGCTGCGCAGAACTTGTGGCGGCGTGCATCGGTGTCAACGTGTGAACGTGCTCCACGTGGGTCAGGGGTCCTCCGTTTGGGATTCGAGGGTTCCGTAAACCCTAATGTCAGGCCTTAAAAAATTGAAATAGGGCTTTGGGGCCCAATGTACTATAATCATAATAAGGACACCCCCCCAAAAAATAGTATAGGTATTTATTTAGGCTTCTATATTAAACCCTAAACCCTCAACTTGGGTCAAGCAATCCGCCAAGACCTGTCTTGCTCCCAAGAACTCCCTGGCCCAAAAACCCTGAAGCTTCCCCAGCTCTCGGAGCAGGGGTTTAGGGTTTAGGGTTTAGGGTTTAGGGTACCCAGCATAACCGGGTTCTTGTTGAGGGATTCTGACTTGCGTTACCATAATACATACAGAAACCCTATTAACTATTTGCTATAGATCCCTATTATGGTAACTCAAATTGAATTCCTTAACAAGAACCTAGAAGAACAAGGAATGCTTTTTAAGCTGTCAGACCGGGGAGGCTTTCTACGCCTTCTTGCAGCGCTTGCACCACCAGTGCCACCAACGGACTGCAGCACACCACTTTGGGCAGCGTGCACGTCGGAAGCGCCGATACCGCCGGTAGTACGAGTACCTGTACGAAGGCACCGGAGTTGTCGGTGCAGTTGAGTTGCAACCAATGATGATGCCGCTGGCCGTCGTGTTGACCCTTTGCCCATTAACCTCTGGGACAAAATAAGTCACTACCGCGTCCGTGCCACCAATGCCCACACCCGTGCCCCCTACAGTTCCAGGGTCGTTGAGCACCAAGGTTTGGGTTGGTCCCCAAATACCATCGGCGCCCCTCTCGAAGAGGAAGACGCGTCGTAGATCGGCTGAAACCTAGGAGATGCAAAACAAAAAGATGCGTAACATGATGCGTATCCTAAATCTAGGCCCGTAAACGCTAAACCCGAATTAACCCTTAAACCCTCAACCCCGAGAGCCCAAGCCCTGAACACCCTGGACCCCAACCTCTAAGTCCCTAAACCCACCAAACCCAAACCCACAGACCACCCATTGAATTGAGAATCCTCTACCACTATTGCCTTGCCAGAGCTGGAAATATCCACATCGTCGACAAAGTTTGAGCCCGCCCGATCTGTTTCCCCAACCTCTTGACGATAGACCTGTCTCAGCTCTTTCGGATTTAGGGCTTTGAAGTTGAAGTTTAGGTTTTTGAAGGTTTACGTGGCTGTGTGGATGGCCGTGCTACCGGGATTGTGTTGACCCTGATGGTAGTCTCGGACGAAAAGAAAACTCAATCATGTTCAAACATCGGCGTAAGGTCGCTAAGCAAGACATTCGAACGATCCCGCAGAACACTGTGTGTCAGCTGCTCTGTACCATAAACCCCAAAGACTAAACCCTAAACCGCAAACTTCTAGGAAGGATGCAAAACCTCATGTCGAATCCGTCACTCTCCAACTTGCGGAACATGCGAACAAGCTTCTCCACCCACACTCAGCTCGTCCCACTTTGAGGGTGTCACTGCTTCTGCTTGCCGTATCTTTGCATCAGAAAGCTTGAAAAGAAAGGGTGTTGTTAGTGCAAGTCTGATACCTTGACTTTTGACTCATGAACCCTTCGGCCCTAAATCTTAAACCCCTGGGACCCTCTGTGCTTCTGCTGGCCTCCGCCCAGAAGCCGGCGCTTTGTTCGTAAATGAAGATAAAGTTCCGCCGTGGTGATGATTCCTGCAAGACCTCCAAAGCATGTCTCAGAGGCATGCCACGTGCAAGAAACGCGAAGGCCTCGAAATCGACTCCCTACATTCTGCGAGCCGGCTGGAAGATTCTTAACAGTACTAACGGTCTCTAACTGCTTTCGAAACTCCGCACCCGGATGACCCAATACCCCTTAGTTAAGGAATATACCTTAAATCATAATATCAAGGCTCCTATAATTTAAGGTATATTCCTTAATTAAGGTGTATTGGGTTCTCTGGGTACGTGTCACAAGCCAGTCGAGATGCACAGATAGAAAGGGGTAAGTCCTCGTAACACCACCAATGACCTTCACGGTGTAAGTGAACAAGACGAGCTGCTGCCCATCGACCGCAAAGCCTGGGTAGCTAGGACATGTCTACCCTACCCTCAGCCTGGTCCTCAACCGATCCTAAAAACACAGACGGAAAGCCTCTATGATTTTCGGACGAAAAACGTAGCCCTAAACCCGGTGGGCGTGTGAGATTAGCAGTCGGTATCAGGGACCAGCTTGCCCCCTGCCACTGGAACGTTTGAAGTTCCCTGTCCGCAGATCCCGCCAGTGGTTTGAAAACCATCAGATTTCCCCCAAGCTCGAGGCATCTATTCTCGCACGACTCGCCCTCAGGGAAGGTCTCTACGTTCACGAAAGTCCAGGACGTCCCGTCGTAGGCAAAGCTGTAGACATTTAACGGCGGAGACGGCTTCACTGGGTAAAACATTGCGATGCCCGCCGCACTGAGCTGCGCCTTCACCCAGTCCGCGGCAGCGCTCTGCGGTGCAAGAGCTGTGAGGTTGGCATTCAACTGCCACCCCGAGTCGTCCATGCCGTACATGAGGACGGAGACCTAGTTCATGGTTGGGGTAGTATTAAAACTTTAAATCTATATTCCTTATTGGGTTTAAGTACCCTTAAAAATGTAAAATGTTACCCAACTATGACAAAGAGACAGGAGGTTGGTTTGAGAGACGTGGCAGCTGACTAAAAGCCATCAAGGCGAAGTTGCCCTTGAGCGCTGCATCCGTCTGATGGCCCCGCTTGTTGGATACGGCGGCCGCGGTTCCTTAGCCGCCCTTCGAACCGGATTAAGAATAATAGTCTTATCAATCCCCTGGAGTTAGATTATAGGAAAACAGTACATAATCCCTAAACCCTAAAACCTAAACTGCAAGCCATTCCTAAGAGAAGTAAAGGTTCAACGAAGAGCTGCCGCGTCCAGGAAGCGCTCGAAGTGCAAGACCCTGGAGCTTCCTGGGTTCTTGCTAAGGAATTTCGGGTTTAGGGTTTTAAGTTGAGGGGATTGGGGTTTAGGGTTTAAGTTACCATAATAGGGCTCTATAGTAAATAATACGGTTTCTTTATTATGGTACCTTAAATGAAAGTCCTTAACAAGAACCCAGATTCCTGGTAGCGCCCTGCTTGGATCTGCAGAAGGCAAGAGGGATCCTGCCAAGCAGCGGTTTTAGAGTAGGGTTTAGGGCTAGAATGGGACATCATACCGTCAATAACTAGAGTAACACAGAGTAGTAGTAGTAGTAGTAGTAGTAGTAGTAGTAGCAGCAGTAGTAGTAGTAGTAGAAGATTTTTTGACTAACTTCAAGACATGATGCCGGAAGCGGCTCTCAATTGCAAACTCATCCCAGCCTGCGTGACATTGAACTTCTGGCAAGAGGCTGTCCACCACCACAATGTCAATGTACGCAGCATGGTGGTTGGGCACTCGTGGATCTGTCGCGGTTCGGTTTCGTAGTGTAGAACTGACTTCGAGCCGAAATCTTGTGCTGCTGCTCGCTTGGCTACTCCTGAGGAATGAACTGATACAACACGCTTCCCTTCTAGTGACCCACACCTACGACAACAGAGTGCTGCAAATTGAGATTGGCTCACAGAAACAACCCTGAGCCGAAAATTGCTGCGCGACCTGCAGGATCCGAGGACTTTGCCTTCGGGCCTAAACCCTAAACCCTGAACCCTTAAACCCCTGGTCCCTAAAACTTTTTTCGGGTTCAGGGTCCCTGCAGACAGTCGCCCTTGCTATGTTATGACCCTACTCTACCGTCCTGAGATTGGGATTACATGAACCCGCTGATTCTGCTAGGGGTGGTCAGGCCTTTGGGTTTGGGTCGGTTTTCGACTAAGGTTTGCTTTCCAGCTTAAAAAAACCTTCAAAACCAGCCAGAAGCTGGAGAGATGGATCTGAGGTCCGATTCCGTGCTCGAGCTTCGGGATTGTGTTTAGGGTTTTGGGTTCGAGCAACTCTGAATCCCAATGCTAAACCACAAACACTAAACCCCTAAACCCTAAACCCTAAACCCTAAACCCTAAACCCTAAACCCTAAACCACAAACACTAAACCCGAAACCCTCGAACCCCGCAAACCAGAGGAACCCATTTCTGTACCTTCAAGCCCCCGTTTAGGGTTTAGGGTTTAGGGTTTAGGGTTTAGGGTTTAGGGTTTAGGGTTTAGGGTTTAGGGTTTAGGGTTTAGGGTTTAGGGTATCCCTAGACTCCCAAACCATTAAAAGCGGAAAGCCCTCCTCCCAGACCTCCCAGCTGCTCTCAACGGGTTCTTTTTTCATGTGGGAATCCGCTTCGCCAAGGCTTCATCCACATGCAGCAAATGGTCCAAATCCTTGGCCAGCCCTGGCGGCAGCTTGGGGGCTTGGGGTTTAGGGTTTAGGGTTTAGGGTTTAGGGTTTAGGGTTTAGCGGTGCTCAGGGTATGGATTCGAGGCTTAGGGTTTAGGGCTTAGCGATTGCAGGTGTTGTGGCTTGCGGGTCAGAGGCTAGAGCTTGAGGTTTAAGATAAGGCGCGTTAGGGTTGACAGCTGGGGATTCGGCTGAAGGCTTAGACTCAAGGGGCTCAGAGTTAGCGGTTTAGGGTTTAGGTTTTTTTTTAAGTGCAGTGGCCCCTTTCTCGGGTTTAGGGTTTAGGGTTTAGGGAGCATCTCCTCAGGTAGAATAAGAAATTAGTCTCAGGCCTGGGGGTGCTGTTCAGCCAGCATGGAGCTCTGCAAACCCTAAACCCTAAACCCTAAACCCCTAAACCCTAAACCCTAAACCCTAAACCCTAAGAGGGCTACGTAAATTGAGGCTTTGGTGTGTAGGAACTGTTGGGCACTGCCTTGCCCATTGTGGAAACACCCGGTGCCTGAGACCCCTCAAGGAACGAGCATTATCCAAACCATAAACCATAAACCCTAAACCCTTAACCCCTAAACCCTAAACCCTAAACCCTAACCCCTACCAAAATCCGAAGCATGCCTGGAGCTCAGATTTCAGGCTGGGGGCTCGGGGTGCAGGTGGTTTCTCGAAAACCCGCTAAACCCCGAAACCTTATACAGGGTTTACGGTTTAGGATTTTAGAGTTTAGGGTTTAGGGTTTAGGATTTTAGAGTTTAGGGTTTAGGGTTTTAGAGTTTAGGGTTTAGGGTTTAGGGCACCAAAAATCCCGAAACCCTAAACCCTGAACCCTAAACCACGAAACCGCAGGCACCCTAAGCCCCAAACCCCGAAACCCCGAAACGCCGAAACGCCGAAACCTCTCGCCCGCCTGTTCCAAATCTGAGGTTCACCCCCATGACCCCATCAATCCCGTCGAGGTCCTGCATCACAGGTCCCGCGAGTGCTTTAAGGCCGCCACAAGTTGGCGATTTAGGGTTTAGGGTTTCGGGTTTAGGAGTTTGGAATTTAGGGTTTAGGGTTTTTGGGCTTGGGAGGGTTCCAGGGTTTAGGGTTTAGGGTTTAGGGTTTAGGGTTTAGGGTTTAGGGTTTAGGGTAGCGTTCTAT